TCTGCTCTTACTGGTGCAATGTGCAATCAATGAAGACTGGCTACCAGGCTGGTCCAATTTAGCCATGAAACCTCCCACACTAAAATGACAGGTGTTTCAGTTTCATTGTCCAACCCCTGTACATGCTCTTCCTAACATATAGAAGTAAATTAAAGATCTATCTTACTATGAGCAGGGCTGGAATCTGTGTGGGGAATCCAGCTGGATTCCAAATCCAACGCCTTAACCACTCAGCCATCACAGCTGTACACAGCAAAGTTCCAGGTTATTGTTCTTATGGGTAAGACATATATAAAAATAAAAGAGGAGAGCTATGCGCTGGCCAAAAAAGCTCATTAGAGCAGAGTGGTTTTCCACCAGCTAAGTCAGTGGTCTGTCTGGAGACTTATCGAAAAAAGTTCACTTGTACAAGATCCTTAAGTCAATTTCTGACATTTTATTACTGTTGCACCATTTATACAAGTACATATAATTTTAACGCATCAATTTCCATATCATTTTTTTTTTTCTGTTTGCTTGAATGAACATGTAGAAATAGCTGTGGTGAGACATGGAATGAAAATATCAATCGTAGTTGGCATGGATGCAGACCAAGAAATTATCAATACTTATTTTTTTTATTTTTTTTTTCCACTTGACCAAAAAGACAGGACTACAGATTCACCCAACCACAAACATGCAATTTACTGAGTCAAAAGAGGAAGAAAAAAAATTGTCAAGTGACACACAACCTTCCTCAGATGTTTGTTTCTGCTACGGTTCAACGAGTGCTGGAAGGAAGACGCTGTGTGCCGGATGGATGGAGATGAAAAGGTGGCAGATGAATGGCGGAGATGACAACACATATACCTGCTTTTATGCAAAGGTGGAAAGAGGAAGGTTTGGTGGTCGGAGTTTAAGTTGCTGGTATATTCAGTATTTTATTCTCCAAGAATTGGGTCACAAGCAGAAGTAGAACCCATTATGATGCAAAAATATGACAATAACTGCTAAATAAACCTTACTTTTTCCTGTTTTGTCTCTTTTAATTCAACTTAACATAACATCCTCCAGTGCTACACAGATGTTTATACATGCTAACAAAAATGCTTGGCCAAATCAAAGTCCTCTTTTCTCAAACACGGTACCAGCAGGTGAAATCAAGCCAGAGTTTAATAAATTTTTAAATATGCTGTAGTTGATCTGGAGTGTAATTAGAAATACCCTAGTTTCACCTTACAATAAAGTAGTTGAAGATTGAAAAATGTATTTGGCACTTTAAATGATTTTTTTCTATAGCCTTTAAGTTCTTCAAAGTTTTCAAAACAGGCCTGACATGTTTCAATGGCAGAACGTCCGTCTTCGTCAGAGGTGTCCCCAGAAGGGAAGTGACATGTTCAAATCTCGCTGTTCCCTGAGGCGGTGTTATCTTGACAGGCCGACACCGCCCCCTGCTGACGGCTTGTGGCTGAAGGATGACCTTAACAGAAGAACTTAGAGGCTATACCAAAGCACTGACACTATGAATTTCATTGGAATACTGACTTTTTCTAATTTTGGTTTACAGTAATTTGACTCAAATACTGTAAACTGTGAGCAATGAATTCTAATAGGTGACAAGAAACCACCATTTCAAAACGTCAATACATGTGCACACCAAGGCTGAGTTCTTGGCCCACTTAATTTTAGTTTATATATAAATGTTTTGTCCAGCTGCAGGTTTCCAGATGTGTGCTGGCGATGTTGCTTTATATGTAGCTGGTAGGGATATTATACATATCAACACAGCTGTCTCTGAGTTTGGATTCTGTTGAAGAATGTTTGAAAAGTCATGTCTTATAATGAACATAAAAAAATATTTTATTAACATTCTTCCAGGACACAATCTTTCATTGCCTGTAATAATTTAAGTCCAGAGACTTTCTAACATTTTATGCCATCTCTTTTCCAAATACCAGACTGCTGAGGTGAGGTAAACTGCATCAATGGTCCAATGTACCTTTTGTGGCCAGATTAAACTGTCATTGTCCCAATCTCTAAATCCTTTTCTATTGGTTGAGAAAAGTTTAAAGAGGTTCACATAAATACTAAAGTATTGGTGGCTGAAATGTAAAACCTAACAGCACAAGACAGTCTTACAGCCTGACCACGTTGTGCAAGCTGAAGATTTAATTTCCTTTCTTCCTCTAATAGATCAGGGAGGAAAGACAATCACAGGATGTTTGAGTGCCAGTTTAGTCTACTGTCTTTAAAAAGACACAACTTATATGTGCTATCCAAAGTGTCCTCGTAACACCGTAAACATAACTGACTTAGTATTACAAGCAAGTTCAAACAATCTCAAAGTTTGTCCTGCCTGTATATCATCCAGGTCATTGCTAGATATGTCTGTTTTATATTTGTCACTGTTTATTTTATTAAAAGACTGAGAATTGCTTTAAACTTTACAAGAACATTGCAAGGTATTTTCAGCAAGGCTTTGCAAATGTAAGTATTACAAATGCTAAAAAACCACTTAGTTTCCTTACAATATAGCTAAGGGTTTCAGTACAAAATGTAGAAGTTTATGTGAAAAAAATCCTACAGTTATTTGCAAAGCCAGCAATTTTCAACCTGTGAATTGCCTCCAAAAGCTTCAGCATTCTCAGTCCTCAAAGGAAAAACATAAAGCATGGGAACACTGGAAGATCTGGGTCAAAAGATTGGGCCGATGTAATGCAAATCCACCTTGAAAAGTAATTTGTAACCTCTCACTCGATTTTCTCTAATCACAATGGTTTACTAAAGACATCCACCGAGCAGAAGGTGCAGGTGAATGCATGAATCCTTCTCTGGGCTGATATGGGAAGCTGGATGTTATGATTGAATGGGACAATGAAGGTGAAGTGGCAAAGGTGTATGGGCGACACAGGCTTGTATCAAAGTTCAAATACTACAGCAGAAAAAATAGATTAAAACATAACAATAATAATAGCAATAATCATACGCATTGGTGGGAAACTTCTCCAGTCCTCCTTATTCAACAAATCATCATTATCATCATTACAATTATTATTATTATTGTTATCATAATAATATGGGTGAGCTAGTAATTTCATTTTCTTTTTAAATCTTTGTCATCGTTGAGTTAGGTAATTTGTTTCTTCGTTTTGGAAAAGAAGCTGTTCATTAATCTTGAACTGCTACGGTTTGATCCTTGCTTGGTGCCTCTGTGGCGTTCGCCTCCTTGGTAGGTTCGGCGGCTGGTGTTGAACTAGGTGCAGCAGCAGCCTCTTTTGGTGCCGCAGGAGCTGCCGCCTCTGTGGGCTTAGGGTCAGGAGAAGTAGCCGGGGCCACCTCAGCTTTGGCCGCTGGAGCAGCGGGGGCCTCAGTCTTTTTGGCGTCAGCCTCCCCTTTGCTCTCGGCTGCAGGGCCAGGTGCCGCGGTCTTCACCCCTGGCTCGTTGGTGGCAGGAGCCGATTCTTTGGCCGGAGTAGGGGCACCTGGTTTCTCATCAGCCTTGGCAGCCTCTGCACTTTTAGGTGCCTCTGTTTTCGGTTCAGCGTTAGTGGCAGGTTTTTCCGACTCCTTTAAGGCAGGAGCAGCATTCTTTTCTTCCTCCTTTGGCGCTGCAGCATCCGCAGCCGGTGTCTCCTTGGCAGCCGTATCGTTCGCTACTTCTTTAGCATCGCTGGCCTCAGGGGCCTCATCTTTCTTGTCTTTCGGTGCTTCACTCTCCTCAGCAGAGACACCTTCTGCCTTGGCATCCTTGTCTTTGGACTTGTCGTCGTTTACATTGTACCCCTTCTTCTTTTTGCTGAGCTTGCCTCCCATTTTAGCTCTCTGGCTTCTGAAACAGAAGGAGAAAAAAGAGTCACCTTAGTATTCTGAACACAGTTGTTATCTAAGCCTCTCATACAGTTGTGGCCCTTTGAACTTAAAAGGTTTAAGTCCCATTGCATAATTGCATTTTATAATTATGTTTAAACTGCTGTAACTGTGTTTTATTTGCTCTACATTTGTAGTTTAAGTGCATGGCTTTGTGGTAAAGTTTCTGTCAGGAGCCAATCCTGGTCCGAGAAGAAAGGGAAAACAGGACTGGAGGGTTGAAAGAAGAGGGAGAGTGAGAAGAAGGAGAGAGAAGATGGCCGCCGCGAGATAGAACAAGCATTGATGAAACCCAGATAGATTAACTTATGGTGACCAGACGTCCCCGAGGACAGTTCCTGTCTTAGACAACCTGTCCCCGGCTAACGCTGTCTTTGGAAAGACATTTTAACGTTTTATGAATTAGAAACAAAATGCTGCGTACAGACTGTTATTATAGTAGCCGGGTACAAGGCGCGAATGAGCATGCTGCGCGCAACAACAGCTATAACGTTACAGAGTAGAAGTAGAAGAGCCGAGAGCTGCCTTTTGAAAAGAAGAAATAGAAGAGGAGAGCGTGAGCTTGTCACCACCGATGGAAGATGTTCAGTGAAATGGTCCAGTATGTGTGAATCAGTTTATTTTGTTTGGACTGGGCTGGTCCTTACTACGATAAAGGTTTGGTTCGCGGTAGGAAATGTTACTGGAGTTGTCAACAATTGCTGTGGGATGTGATTTGTATTACAAGGGATGAGGACCCAAATGCAAAATAAACCAAGCTTTTATTAACAAACAGAAAAATGAAATGCAAGGCGAGAGCCCACGGAGTTGCTGTGGCGTGAGAGAGAGAGTGGGAGAAATCGTAACAGGATAATTAAAAGACCTCCTAAAAGACCGGTGGCGCTACAGTCAACAACGGTTTGAGTAAGATGTCTTAAAATTTATTGGTGACCTTTAGTTTATATTTTCAGAGCTAGTTATGAGGTGTTTTGCTATTTTTGTATGCTAGTTGTTTTGCTAGTTGCTCAGTTGTGTTTGTCTTCTCAGTTTGGATATATGGAAGTTCCTGATGAATAAATAAAGGATACAACAACAGGAAAACTGTGAAAGAGAAAAGAACTCCATGAACTGACTGATGATGAGAAAATCACCTGGTTAAATGGGCATTTCTTCTGCTGTATGGGCTTGCAGATCCAAATAAAAAGTTTGTATTTACTAAATATTGCATTTTTGGCTTTTATCAGCTTAGGAAACTAGTTAAATCATAAAAAATTGAACGACATTAAAAAAACTGCTACATTCAGGCCAGCTACAGAGAGAGCTGAATATCTTAGTAATTGACATCTTTAATGCAGCATTCCATTTACATCTGAACTCGAAATGGGAAGTCGGAGTAACGTCATCTCCCAGGTGACAGCT